GGCCTCTTCAATAACTTACACATAAGGAGGGAAATCCCATTTAGTTACTAAAATGATAAAATATATAGAAATAAATTTATAAGTTAGGACACTGCAGGAAGTAAGCTACAGAATTTTGCAAGAAGTTATAAATATGTAAACAAATCATATAACTAGATAAAAATATCTAAGTACTATAAGTTTATTCTTTCGAATTTATTTATAAATTTAAGGCGATTCCAATAAAAATCCCAAAGAACTTTCTTTTTCAAAAACCTGAAAAGCCCAGCCGGACGTGGCTCAGTGGTTGAGCATCGACCTAGGATCCAGGAGATCGAGGTTTGATTCCAAGTCAGGGCACACGCCCGGGTTGAGGGTTCGATCCCCAGTCAGGGGCATGCAGGAGGCAGCCGATCAATGACTCTATCATTGATGCTACTATCTCTCTCTCCCTCTCCCTTCCTCTCTCTGAAATCAATAAAGATATATATATTTTTTAAAAACCTGAAAAATGCTTCTGAATTTTATTTAGAAAAATATGGAAAATACTCTAATAATAGTCAATACTGACTGAGCCCTTCCCATATGTTAATCACTACTACTTTTATAATTTTTCTCTATCATCTTTACAATTATGTGGGACAAATATTATTACCATCCCAGAGTGGCAATGCACGATTTTAGCTGACCAGCATCCATATTTCTTTCCTCTGATATCTCTTGGATTTCCCAATCAAGGGAATTCTCCTCCCTTGACTTTGGCATTAGGACTATTAATCCAGCTGTCCTGCACTCCCCAAAGCAAGGGACAGGTAAATTACCTCACAAGTAAATGACCCATGCTATGCCAATTACCTGCTGTTGCAAAATTTTAATTTTGCATGAAGAAACAAAAACCCTAAAAATGGTTGAAGTTCACTCATTAGCAGTGGTGTCCTGACAAGACAGTTATTAGCTCCTATCTCGCTAGACTCCTGGAGGTAAGGAATTGAGGAGGGAAGGTGATGAACCCAGGAAGTACCAACAGAATGCCATCTGCACTTGCTGACAGGCAAAAGGGGACAGTGTTGGCAGAATCTGGTGTCACCATAGCAAAGGTCTGTGGTGGGAGGAAGCGGAATAAAACCATTGACAATAACTACCGGGGGCTGGGAAAATGAATATCCTCACTTCTGTCTGCTCTGATTTTCTACGACTGGCCAATCAAAAGCCAGGACACGAAGAAAGCCCAGGTGAAGCAGTCCACAGAGCTCAGTCCCAAAGGACAGAGCAGGAGAGGGGATGCTGGAGAACAGATGTGGAGGAGCAAAATGAGTCCTGCACGCTTCCCAATTTTTGCTAAAGGCCAGATTGGTGTCTGCAGCTTACAACGCAGTAACACTGATATGCCCCCATTTTACAGGCAGGAAAATGAAGTTCAAAGAGGTTAGGTTACTTTCTGAAGGTCGCACAGGTAATATATATAGTACTCTAAAACAGCTTAAATAAAGGAAATGTAAAAGGCCATAAGAATTAAATCAATCCAATAGATGTGTTTGCATGTATATATACACACACACAATACACAACCCCAAAACAGATCCTGGTATCCATAAGTATGTAGTGTATTATAAGAGGCATCGGTGGGGAAAGAAAAATTCACCTGTCAAATTTGGAGTGGGAGGGAATTATTAAATATTTGAAGAGAAAACTAATTTAGATCAAATCAGAACATATATCCAAATTCCAAATGGATGAAAGACCAAAATGTCCCCACCACAAATGTTTGTGAGAGCTCCCAATGTAAATGAAACAAAACACAGTATATTTTAAATCCAGATCCTATATCCAATCTTCCACTCAATGTGGGGCTAAAGTTCTTTCCTTTAGAAGTTTTCAAAAATTAGCTCCAGAACCACCACTCTCAGGAAGCTTCTGCAGGATATGCTCCAGCAAGAGTGTAAGCAATAAAGAGAAAAACAAAGGACCCAGGAAACACGAGACTCTAACATAGAAGAGCAGCAAAGAGAAGTCCATGATGATATTTGTGCAATAGCCCTAGTGAGCAGCCCGTCTAATTGAGGCAAATAGGACAAAGGGCACTTGATTCCAGGAAAAGTAAAATAAAAACCGAAACTTACATGAGTAGTTGGAAAATATTAATAGGCTTGTTACAGAGATAATTCAGGCATTTGAAAATAATTAGTAACAGAGATCCTACTTATATGAGATATCCAGAGTAGGTAAATCCACAGACACAGAAAGCAGACTAGTGGTTGCCAGGGACTTAGGGGTAAGGGAGAATGGAGAATGACTACTTAGTGGATATGGGTTTCCTTTTGGGGTGATAAAAATGTTCTAGAACTAGACAGTAGTAATGGTTGCAAAATTCATGAATGTACTAAATGCCACTAAACTTCACACTTTGAAATGATGAATCTTATGTTGTATTTTACTACAATGAAAAGATACAGAGCAAATTAAGCAACAAGGGCAATTATTAACTATGGGGAAAATAAAAGATTAGACAAGAAAGTAGGCATGATTTTAGGGCATGGTTAGGCTTGGTTGTTTTTGCATATTCACAATAATTAAATGATGTCTATAGATTTAACCAAAAGCTGCAATATTAGCAGAGTAGAAGTAAGAGTTTGTTTGGGAAAGTGGTAATCAGAACATCATTGCTCACTTACCACAAGCCAACAGACAATACCTACATTGACAAATTGAAATATAGCAGTAAAAGCTTATTATTTAGAAATATGGAGGTCGATAACAGCAGAAAGGTGAGGGTGATTCTCTCTCTGGTAAGTGGGGACTGTGGGAGAGACAGAGCAGGAGGGAGCAGGAGCTGCTGGTGTTTGTTATAAGTATTCTAGCCCCATTTGAATTTTTAATTGCACACATACAAGTATTCTTTAAAAACACACTGAAACAAAAAAGTAAGCAGAGGGAAATATTTGTAACCTAACTTCTTAAATTGGAAAAACAATCAAGGATCAATAGATTTCATTATATGAAAAGTCTAAAAATTAGGTACATCAAAATGTATCAAGTTTCTGGGACTGAAAATAATGGCCTGTCACCTAATCTCTTCACACACCTTCTTAAAAACCTTCAAGACCAAGTTATGTGGAAGGAGTGCTAAGCATGGAGAGGGCAGAAATTGCAGAAACAGTAACCTGTGCAAATGTCTAGAGCAATCGGGCAGATAAAATAAATCAGGGAAACAGGATAAACAAGTGACCAAGTCAGATGTAAGACAATGGGGTGTTGGGAACCACAGGAAATGAAATTTATTTGTCTTTAGCTGGAAATACTGAAATAGAAAACATCTTAAAACACTCCAAACCAGCTTCCTCCTGGCAACCTTGTTTGAGTGAAGCCAACAGGAAAGAGGTTTGAAAGTGACTAGCTTAGAGCAGAGGAGCAAGGACACTGGCCCCTCTCAGTCCCTTCAGCCTTCTCAGGGACAGAGAACACCCCCGAGAATGTTCTGTGAGGAGAGCAAGATGTAACAGCATCCTGATTTGCTATGAGAAAACTGCCTCGTCTCCACTGTGTGACATCCCATAACAGAAGCCCAGATGGCCAAGTCTTCCACGCCCTTCCTATGGAGCCACTGTCAGGCCTCTAGGATCAGCCGACTGGATGCTCTCTCCAGGGGCTGGAGACAGACAAGATCCTAAGAAACCTGGGGTTCAGCACAGTGGCAGACGTTGGCCTGCTGACCACAATTTCCTCGGGTCCACAGTGAGGGTGGGAACCGGCGGTAAGGCTACCACAGCAGACGCAGGCGGAGGGCAGGACAGTCGGCCAGAGCTCAGTGCAACTAGTAATCAGCAGTACAGGGCCCCTAGCACCTCAAAGCCCACGGGCCAGGAACGACACATGCAAATACGTGTTTTAACTTTTATGGCTGAAGATACTAATGAGCAGTTCTCACTTGTTAGGTCAAAGAACATAGAACACAGGGAACCAATGTAAAAGTAAAATTTTTTAATAAACATTATGGCAAAAATGTCCTTGTTGTTGATAGAAATATGTAAAAAAACTATAAATTAGTTTCAAAGAAAGCTTTCAGAATCAGTTTAACTTGACTTCTACTTCGGAGATCAGAGCTGCCCGTCGCTCCCACTAGCCAGTGTACTGGAAATTAATTATTCCGAGTGGACACAATGCCGTGACTTTTGCAGAAACACGGGAGGATGGAAAGCCTCCTTAAATACCTAACTGCAGAGAAATTATACTGTAAACACTTATGAAAACAAACACTGATACTGCTTTTAGTTGGGAATGCTTGTTTAAAAATAATATGCTGGGGGGAAAACAGAATATAAAAAATATTTTAATTAAAAATCTCACAATTTCACAAAACAAAAATTATCTATTATTATGTGGTTCCTAAAAATGTTTTAAGTAGTACTTTACTTTCTTCAGAAAGTATTGGAGGCAGTAAACCAGACAGGCCTAGAATACTTCACGCTGTGACACAAAAAGAGAAACCATGGCAAGATTTTTAAATGCCCACATTGCATAATTTTCTTAAGCAACCACTTATTTTAAACAGTATATGTGTATCAATACAGAATTATCTAGTCTATTTTAAACTCTAAAAAATGGAATAAAAGTAGGCTTTCAGTAGGAACATTTTATGAGACTTTTTTTTTTTTAATACTCCCCTGAGGATATTTTTTCCATTGCTTTTCAGAGAGTGGAAGGGGAAGGGAGAGAAACACTGATGTGAGAGAGACACATCGATTGGTTGCCTCCCACACATGCACTGACTGGGGCCAGGGATTGAGCCTGCAACTGAGCTACATGCCCTTGGCTGGAATCGAACCCGGGACCCTTCAGTCCGTGGCCCAACGCTCTAACCACTGAGCTAAACTGGATAGGGCTTATGAGACATTTTAAAAGAGCCCCCAGTTCAATAACGGGGAGCAACAAGTGTGCAGGTATGCAGGGAGTGGGGTGGAGGAAAGGGAGTCTGGAAATGCAGGAATCCACGGATCAAGAAATTCCTGATTCTCCAACAATTGTTTTTTTTTGTTGATTTTAATTTTTATTCAGTTATACATTGTCTTGATTTAAAAGAACAAAAGAGCTCTACAGGACTTGTTATAAAAAAGAACAATCTGTCCTGTCTCCAAGCTCCACCCCCCACCTGACCTCCCCCGAAGCAATGCCTCCTTCGGAATTTACCTCCCTATCTTTATAACCCTGTTACTATTTTTCTTTTGTAATTTTAGGTATTACTGATGTTCCACTATGGAGCATACAGAACTGCCCTCCTTTCTAACCGCCTCATCCCTAACTTCTCCCGCCCACACCTTCTCAGAAGGTGTACCATCAGCACTGGGCTCGATGAGTACTGAAGGCTGAGAGCAGCACACGGCGCACACGAGTCACACTGGGCCGTGGAGCACAGCACCTTTCCTTCCCAGATACATTTATAACTTAGTTTTTTCATTTGCTTGCTTCGCTGTCATAACAACCCCAAACTCCTTGCCAGCTGTGAAAATCTCTCCATACACCCTGATGCATCAGGTCATCTACAAACGTCATCTTCAAAGGCGCCTGCCCCGGTCCAATCGGCAGCAGCCCCGGGGCGGGGTGGACTGCCGGGAAGAGGAGGACCGCACGGGCCAGCTGGAGCTCCGCAGGGCCCCTGGGCAGCTTCTCCAGAAGAGGCGGAGGGCTCTCAGCGAAGAGCAAGCGCACTTTGCTCAGTTTGCCAACACGCACTGCCACACACGTGGCGGTCCTTCTCCGAGAGCAAACCCAAGGGCAAGTGCAGAAGCCTAACAGCTCAAGAAGATGGCCTAAGGCCGCAGAAGAAATCCAGACACGCTTTCTATAGAATCCTGCACAGGCCAAGTCCACGGGAGGTGCAGGCTCCAGGGCAGGAGTGACATCTACGTCCCCCACAAACTTCTCCTGTGGTGACACAAGCCACCGAGAGCAAGAGAAATCATAGTGGTGATGAACACCTTAGTCGTTTTTCACAGAACAGGCCATTCCACAGGCACTGTGCTATGGCCCCCAATACATGAGGATATACCCCTTTCTTCCAGTACAGGCTAGTGGAGGGCAGTGTGAACCAACACTCACCGGGGAATTCTTTTCTTGCTCAGATGTTCCTGCATCTACTGAGAAGACTTCTTTTTTCTTCTCTATTATTTTTGTTCTATTTTTCCAGATCCCTAAAATGGCATGTACTATTTTTCCTAAATTATAACCATGAACTTTTAAAAAATTAGTGACTACTAGTAACATAAAAATCCATTTTTTTTATCTTTTTACTAAATACGGCTATGCCATGACCATTTTTATTTTTAAAAAATGAGTCTCTTGATTTAGTCAGGACCTAGGGAGCATAAAGGATTAGCCACTGTCATACTCAAAATGATGCATTTATTCAGGGCAAATCTTAATTTTCTTTGTCTTCTTCAGAAGAAAGAGCTGCAAGAATACCTGGAAGACTTGAAGTAAAGTCAATTTAAAGCACCTTTACTGAAACTTGATTCCTTGGGCCAGCGGAAGGTCCTTACTGTAGTTGATGGTACTAGGGAGGGGAAAAAAAATGAACAAAATTAAATGAAGGATAGTACATACATGATATAGAATATTTGTATGCTTTTAAAAATGTAGCAGATCTATATATATCAACAAGGTGAAATGTCCAAATTACAAGTTGGTGAAGAAAAAAATCAAGATATAAAACAATACTGATATGGATCTACTTTTATAAAAGAAAAAAAAGGAGAAACAAAAAATTCTGGAAAGATATACAGTATGCATGTTATTCATAGTTTTCAGGGCATAAGAATATAGGGACTGTAACAATCTTCTTTATCTTTCTCAATAACTTGTATTGAATTAGCAGGAAAAACACAGATTCCCATTGTGAAAAAACTATAATATAGAAAATAAAAACTTTAGTCATTTAATCATCTCATTTTTCTCCTACGAGAAAATGTGTCCCATTAAATGGGTTCCCAAAAGGCCATAGCTAAGTGTCTTCCACTCTAGAACTCAAGTGCACAAGGAAGTAAAAGGAACATAAGTGACTTTGAAGAACAAGTCAGGCAAAAAGTGAGCATGTATTTGAGACAGCAAGCCACAGCCAAGACCACCTCAGAAATTCCTCACAGATATAAGGTGCTAAGGCTACAAAGGATCAGGGCTGAGAAACCCACCGGAGGTTACAGAACTAGTGGGAAGCAGTAAATGGGACAAGGATGGGTGTCCTTGGTTCCTCACCACATGGGCCTGACCCCACATACTGTTGTATTGCACTTGGGTAAAGCTATTTCTACCCAAGGGGGAGGGAAAACAGAATACATTTAACAGAAAGGACTCCTAGTCAAAATCTCCCAGAAGCTGGGTCCCTCACCAGCTATCCATGTGCTGGGTGAATGAACTAATCCTACTTCCAAGGGTCATGCTCACTATTCTGAGAGCGGGGATCCCCCAGCTTGCTAGCCAGACCCCCAGGCCCCCTGCCCATCTCCCCTCCTCCTGCTTCTGCAGTCTGCAAGGGTGGTAACCGCGCCCAAGCAGAAAACTCAAAAGGACAGCTTCTTCCACTTTCTCCTGCGAGTTGACACCTCAGTGTCCTGTTCCTATGCTGCCTCTAGAAACCACAGTTGGATGCTAGCTGAAGCTGGACGGGAAGGGTAGAAAAATAACAGTACAAAATGGGTGCTCTGGGAGGGGAGAGCTGGGAACATTAGAAAAATAAAATTAAGTAGAAATGCATAAAGCCAGAGCAGAAAGTAGAAGAGTGTAAAAGCACGTTGCAACAGCTTTAAGTCCAAACCCGTCTTCCCAAAGCCTTTTCTTACCAAGTAGATCTTCTCATGTACTGTTTCCAGGCATCACTGCCAGACTCCCTGCCTCCGCCAGTGTGCTTTTCTCCCCCTAGAGAAACACAAAGGCAGCTCACATCTCATCTCCTGGGCTGTTTTGTTCTGTGTGGGTTCCTACTTTGTATCACTGAAGTGAAGATACCAAAAGGAGACCAGAGCTACCTGACCAGTTCCCGCACATTTAGCCCTTCACATTTATTCAATTCCTTTACATTTATTTGGTAAATAAATGCATAAAAGACAAAGACCAAAATAAACACAAAAAAGGAACTAAGAGGGAAAATAGAAGGAATTAAGAGGAAACAGAAATGTGTCAGGAAGAAAATCTTTAAAAAACAAACCTCCCATTAGACCAAGGTGTTAAGAATAGTGCCTCTGGGCAGTGAAAATATGTTATTTTCTCATTTATGCTGATCTATGTGTAATTTTCTATAATATACATGAACTGCTTTTATAATAAAATATTGTAAATGTTAAATTAATATCCTTAGGTTAAAAGAAGATAATGATTCCATAAAACAAGAAAATGATACTATCGAAAAATGTGCCATTGCCAGGCCGGGCGTGGCTCAGCGGTTGAGCATGAACCTAGGATCCAGGAGATCATGGCTCCATTCCCAGTCAGGGTATGTGCCCCGGTTTCGGGCTCAACCCCCAGTAGGGGGCGTGCAGGAGGCAGCCGATCAATGACTCTCTCATCATTGATGTTTATCTCTCCCTCTCCCTTCCTCTCTCTGAAATCAATAAAGATATATGTTTTTTAAAAAAAGAAAAAGAAAAATGTGCCATCAAAGCACAGGAATTAAGTCTTGGTGGTGTTTTTAATTATAGCAAAGGAGAAAACACTTAATAGGATTAGAAGAAAAATTTGAAGTATTGGTGGTGTTTTTAATTATAGCAAAGGAGAAAATACTTAATAGGATTAGAAGAAAATTTTGAAGAGATCTTGCATACAAAAAACAAAAAAGATAAAGAGATGGAAAATAGGAGAAAAACACAACCAATTTTTCAAGAGATATTCAAATAATAGGAGTTCCAGAAATTAAAATAGAAAAAATTCAAAGGGCAAAAATTGTCAAAAAAACACTACCAAAGCAAAATTAGAACTGAAAACTATGAGTCTCTATATCCTAAGGTCAATCACTGGCCCACTGACTACCCAACAAATACTTTTACAAAGATCTCCAGTGAGGTATATTACTGTGAAATTTCAGAACATCAGACATGAATTGTAGAACTAATATTTTTTGAAACAGGAAGAAAAAAAAAACTATCAGAAATCAAAGTGGATCGATTGGACTTTTCAACCACAATATTAGAAACCAGAAGACAAATGGGTAATAGCTTCAAAAGTCTGAGGAAAAATTATTACAAAACTGCAGCAAAAGCAGAGCAGGTCTGCTTGCGATGCTGCTGGCACCTGGGACCTTGGCTGCTAAACAGTTCCCTGCACTGGTATAAAACATTCCTAAATGGTTGAGGTGTCTTACTGAGCCTAAACTGTTTCTGCACAGACAATGTGGTTTATGTTCAACACCTGCCTTCCTCTGAGAGTCTGGAATTTGGGGTATGTGCCAGGTGGAGGGTGCCTCCGAGACCAGCCCCCCCATAGAAGCCTTGGGTGCGGAGTCTCTCATGAGCTTTCCTGGCAGACTATGTATGTTGTCACAATCTGTGGCTGGAAGAATTAAGCACCTCTTTTGTGACTCCCCTGGAGAGGACTCTTAGAAGCTTGTATCTCGTTTCCTCTGGACCCCACCCCACATGATAATATCACATCACTTACAGGGAAAGAGAGAGAGGACTTAAGAAGGTTAATCGAGCCCGGCCGGGCGTGGCTCAGTGGTTGGGCATCGACCTAGGATCCAGGAGATCAGGGTTCGACTCCGGGTCAGGGCACGTGCCTGGGTTGCGGGCTAGGCAGCCGATCAATGACTCATCATTGATGTTTCTATCTCTCTCTCTCCCCCTCCTTTCCTCTCTCTGAAATCAATAAAGATATGTTTAAAAAAAAAAGGTTAATCGAGCATAGCAGAGGGTCAATTCATAATGTCCAAATTTGTGAAAGAGTGCAGTTAAAGCACACTATTAAGAAAAATTGAAGTAAATGCAAAGGTAAATTGACTTTTTTCTTTAAGTGTGAACCTCAAAGTGGCTGCCTCTGGGAAAGTAGGAGGAGGAGGAAGTGTGGGCAGAACTGCTTTTTCCATTAAAAGATTTTTTAAAAAAAATTTCAATTAACTGTGAGGGCTGAAATGAAGAAGAGTCCATTGGAGAGAGAAGGCATGGGCTGGACACAGGGATTAAAGGGTTCAGAAGGACAGACAGACGCATTCAGGCCACTGAACAGTAGAGGGCAGGGGTGACGGGCTGAACTGACAGCAGGAACCTTTTGTCAAAGTCTGCACACTGAATAGTAATTATAGTTTTTTGTTTAAAATATATGAAAGAATGACCCCAATTATTTAAACTTTAACAGGTGTTCAATGAATGTTTGTTTTGCTTCTGTATATATTTAAAGGCAATCTGTTTTTACTGTACTTTGGATCATTTTTAATAAGTAGAACAGCAAGTGATTGTTTGGAAAAGGTTTTTTTAATTATTACTATTACTAAGTTAAGCACTAAGAAATCAAAGCATATATAGAGAAAATAGAGACAGATTAGGTGAAAAGAAACAACTTAGCATTTTCTCTAAGATTAAAGATAACATTTAACATTTACTATGCCCACTTTGCCAGTAAAAGCCAGAATTTTTTGTGTGAAGTTTTCTGGCTTTAAAGCAGGGGCTCTTCATCTTTCTTGGGTCTTGAATCCTCTCCCCAGAAAATAGATGCCACCACTTTAGGGGCGCACACATCTCAGGCTGAGGGCCCTGCCCCAGTGTGATACTAAATAACTAAACGCAGCTGAGAATAAAATGCAGGACCTGGACAGTCAGTCACTCAGAAAATGGAGCATGAGCTTTCTCAAGCATGTCAGACCAGGTAAGACTATCATTTCAGTTTCTTGGTCAAACTTTTCTAAAAGCTACTACTGCGTTTCCTTTACTGCCTGCCTGTTATGATCTGAATTGTCTCCCCCTCCCGCCCCCCAACCCCATTACTATGTTGAAGCCCAAAAACTCTGTATGTAGCTGTATTTGGCAATAGGGTCCTTAAGTAGGTAATTAAGGTTAAATGAAGTCATAAAGTTAGGGCCCTAAGCCAATAGGACTGGTGTCCGGATAACAGGAAGAGACACCAGGGATGTGGGTTAGAAAAAAGGCCACGTGAGGACACAGGAGGAAAGTGGCTGCCTGCAAGCCAGGAAGAGAGGCCTCAGGAGAAAGCAACCCTGCCAACACCTTGATCTCAGACCTCCCGCCTCCAGAACAGTGAGAAAATTGACTTCTGTCGCGGAAGCCACCCGGTCTGTGGTATTTTGTTATGGCAGCCCTAGCAGACCAATACTCTGCCCAACATGGAAAGGAGAAACGATTCTCCACATACCAAAGGCACCTCCGATCTCAGCGCCGCTCGTCGGAATATTGACGTTTACGATGCCACAGTCTGATCCTTTCGGTCTGCGTGTAAAAAGGGAGGCATGGTGAGACCAATGTACAGGAAAGTAAAAAACAAAACAAAAATTAAAAATCCAAACAAAACCTCTAAGACTCTCAGTGCCAAAACATGGATTTTCAACTATGATGGTTTCATTTTCTATTTTTTTAAAGTCTGTCACCACACAGATCAGACTTACGTAGGTTTTTAAAATAAAGAGTGACTGGGGAGGGGGAAGGAACGGGGGGAATGGGTCATTGGGGAAAAAAAGGGACATCTGTAATACTTAAAACAAAAATAAAATAAATAAAATAAAATAAAATAAAATAAAATAAAATAAATAAAATAAAATAAAATAATAAAATAAAATAAAATAAAAGTTTTACCCAAGCCAGCGGAAGATTCTGCCCAAATCCTTGGTAAAGACACTACTTGAAAGTCCCTGTTTTACTTCATTATTCCACGCAAAGACTTCATCTTCATTCTAAAAGGACAGATGTTAGAAGCTGATAGATGATACAGGGTTCAGGTCAAAGTTACTAATGTTAAACTCATTCCATGAGATGTGCCAGTATAATTTTAATGCAAAAAAGGAAACCACAGAGCCAACCTCCGACTAATTCTGTTTCTCTTGTACAGTGCCTTTGTGGGGGTTTTCTCCCCAATTGTAATTTAAGAAGCAAGTATCTTTCTTCCATTCTTCCAGTACTTCCTTCCATTCAAGCAATTATGTATAACAGCGAATGTTTACTGAGGCCTTATAACGTGCAGCACACTGACCCACGCACTTAGAATATATTTAGTTATTTAGACCTCAACCTGTGACATAGGTTTTCTATTTCCCCCAATTTACAGATTAGGCAAAGGAGGCCGAGAGAGGCTAATTTGCTCAAGGCCTCATAGTCGCACACACATTACAAAACATGAAATTATACTCTCTAGTCACCATATGTGGAACAATTTAAAGCAAGATTTTAAGCCCTGGTGGGGTAACTCAGTTGGTTAGAGAGTCATCCCTATGCACCAAGGTGGTGGGTTCAATCCCCGGTCCGGGCACACATAAGAAACCACCAATGAATGCATAAATAAGTGGAACAGCAAATTGATGTTTCTCTCTCGCTCTAAAATCAACACATAAAATATAAGAAAAAATAAAGCAAGATTTTAAAAAATGCAATCATGTGTTTGCAATGAGGTGTGATTCACATTATTCTTCAACTGTTAATCATGGCACATTCAAACCCTAATTCAATCTCTAAACACGTTCCAGCCTGGCTAGGGCCTGTCTCATGCTGGGGAAGGGGACCCTCTAGTTTTCTTCATCTGTTAAAATCTCCAGACTGTCCTCTGATACAAACTGTAACTGTAGATCTTTAGGTTGCCCCATACCTTCCCATTTTGTCTGCAGATACTTAGCTCTCAGTCTATCAAACTACCTAGTCCCTCTGCGTAGAAGCCAAATTTTTGGCCCGCAAGGCTCAGAATCAGGTGATACAGGCGATGAGGGTCACATTCTCCATAAATTACAACACTGGTTCTCTGCTCGTCTTGGTTTCCCTGGCAGCTGGCTTGACATGCTCTATAGTTTAAAGTGTTCATCCCATCATATTTTATCCATAACCTTCAAATTTATACTAATCAGAATGACTTTCTGAAACCTCCCTAAAGGCCAATCGAGTGAAATTTAATACGCCTTCATTCTCTCCTAGTCTTCTCCAAATGTTTGCTTCAGCATTAGACTAGAGAAAAGAGAGACAGAACCCACTTTTACCTTGAATTTGAAGACATAAAGAATTGGAGCAAAAGTCTCTGTGTGTGCAATGGCTGCATTGTGGGCAAGGCCTGTCACAATGGTCGGTTCTACGTAATTTCCAGGGCGATCCATGGCCTTCAGTAGAGAAATGAAATAAAACAATGAAAGCATTTTGTTTTCTAGTACTTGTGGTCCGGGGACAACATCTTTGCCTAAACTTATGAAGGAGAAAAAAAAAAATACACCCACGCCATTTTAGGTGAATTATTTCTGCAAGGTAACTTCCCATCATGAATGAAAATTTTGTCTGCCTCTTATTGGCTCTAACTTGGTCAAAGAAAAACAGGAAAAGAAGAGGAATCAAGGATAGAGAGCTGTGCCATGTGTCACAACCAAGTAGTGTTGAAAAAACAGTTGCAGATGATGATTTTAAAATTTATATAACTTTAAAATAGGTCATCTATACCCACTGTGTTATAGACTACATTGTGTCCCCGACCCCCAAATTCACATGTTGAAACCTTAACCCCCCCAGAGTGACTGAATTTGGAGACAGGGTCTTTAAGAAGATAATTAAAGTTAAATGAGGTCACATGGGTGGGGACCCAATCCCATGGAACTGATGTTCTTATAAAAGGAAGAGACACCAAGACCTCTTCTCTTCATGCACGGTGGGAAGGTCGTGTGAGAACACTTCCTGCCAGGGATAGAGGCCCGGCAGCATTTAGACTTCTAGCCCCCAGAACTGTGAAAAAAATAAATTTCTGTTTTTCCAGCCATCCAGTGTGAGATACTTGGTTATGGCAACCATTGTACAAAAATCAAAAGCTCCAACAGGATATAGTGTAGACACTCCTAACCAACCTTCGTGTAACCAAATTACTAGATTATGTGCAGTTAATGAATTTTCACTTTTCCTTCCATGCCACACTGATGCCCACAGCAAGCTGCTCTGGCAGGTGCTCGGCTCTCCAGTGTGCTGTGTAATTCTGCTCTCAGCCTCTGAGCTTATGTTTACCAAGAGTCCAGGGGATTTACTCCCAACCCTGGGCACAGCAGCTGTACTTGTTACTGCAATGCTATAGTACATTGCATAACTTAAATAAATATTACACAAAGGAAAAAGGAGCTATGTCTATAAAAGTGGAGTATTTCAGGAAAAAACTCACCAAAAGTAACAAAAATATACATAATATTCATACGCATGCTGTCCAATGAGATGTGGGTATGTCGATGGTCAGATGACTAGGGAGGAGTCTCCTCTCGGAGAGCTTTGCAAGAGACTCAGTTCTCAGTGATTTTTAAATAAAGTGAAACTCAATTGTAGATAATTACTGGCATAGCTTATGCAAGGATGAAGACGAATTCCTCCCGCACAGGAAGAAAATGTTTTGAATACATCTAAAGACTCAAACAAGTGTAGTTATCTGTGTTACATTAAAATGTTTTCGGCGTGTATTTTTTTGATTACTGTCTTACTTGACCTTTTAAAATAACCATTAAATACAAATCCTAATTACCTTGAATACAAAGTCTTCTACTGTATCATGACAAAGTCTCCCTCCATATAAATTCCTAGACACTCAATTCAAAGGCAACCATGCCTCTGAGGTTCTTGTGCGTCCTTCCAGAAATTTCCATGCAGCCTATGTTGTCATTCTTTAAAATATGTTTCCCCCTTACAAAAGGGAAGAGAGAAGCAAGACAGCAGTGGGGACCCTTCTCTTCTCCACCAGTTTTCCCAGGGCCCTGCTTGTGCCCAAGGGAGAGGAGCGAAAATCTCACTTCTGAGCTCCGAGGGGTCCTTACCTTGCCGCCATAGACCACTGTGCCTCCTTCCTTTTTCGCTGCCTCCACTGCTCCAAGAAACATGCTCACTGCCTGTTTGGTGTGGAGTGGCCCATAGAGAACATTAGCTGGAGAGAAAAAGGAATGTTCTTCATTTTCCCCTAAATGGCACCATTTTATTATTATAACAGCTTTCCCAAGGAACAGACCAATCCCTTCCTAAAGCTTCTCAGTTGAGAGCAGGAGTCTGCAACCTTTTTCTGTAAAGGGCCAGACATTAAATATTTATATTAAAATATTTACATGACATATGTGGTCTCTGTCACAAAAACCTGGCCACTGAAAGCAGCCACAGAAGATACGTAAACCAGTGGGTGTGGCTGTGTCCTGACAGAAGTTTCTTCACAGAAACAAGTGGCAGCCAATCTGTGTGTCACCCCTGGTCTAGATCAATTAACCAGAGTGCACCTGTTCATTCACCGCAGTGTGATCACTCTCTAAGAACTTCGCAGGCTCAGCAGCTGGCGTGCAATTTACAGGGGAGAGATGGATGCCGCCCTATGACCAGCTGCCAGAAAGCAGAGCATTAAAGGTGAGCCCGGGAGAGGAAGAGAAAGACTTAGCTGGGCCTCAGGAGGAGGTGGCTTTGAGCGGAAGTAGATGTGGGATGGCTTAGACGAGAGTAACAGTAGTGAAGAGTGAAAAGCTCATCAAACTCATCCCAGCGGAACACCACCCCCCAGCTCACATTGACCACTCAAGATCCTGACCTAGGAGCAGATGCATCACCCTAAATGCCCTATAACCTGCTTTCTATGCCCTCAGTCTCCTCAGGAAAGGTGGGGCAGGGGGCAGGGGGATGGTCAGAAACACTTGTAACACCAGCTATCAGAAAGGAACACCTCTGAAAGCAACTCACCGTCCCACGGGTTCCCAACCCGGATCTGTGCATAGGCCTTTTTAAGCCTATTGACAACTTCATCATGGACACTTTCATGCAAAAACTAAGTGAAAAAAAGAAATATGCAAGGGCATCGTCAAATAAATGTATAAATTTGTTAACAATTACAATTTTTCTTAATAGTGCTGATTTATAGTTCATAATAATTTTTGAAAAATTGTGATCTCCAAAAATATATGCAAATGAAGTATGTTTATTTTTGTAATTATAGAATTTCTAATTTTAATGTTAACTACATGAAGATAATAATTTCCTGTAGGTGGCTGTTAGAATAAAATCATAAGACAAGTCTTTATCAAGTCTCTAAGGATCTGTTAGACTAAGCTTTACAAATCAATTATGCCTGTTTCTGTTCTAGAGCATGTGACACCTTAAGAAACAGAAAACCTAAGCATACGTATTCCACAGCATGCCTGTGTGAGTCACGGTGAGCACACAGCACAACGGCCTGGTCAGCCTACCTCTGCTGCTGTGTAACTACGTGCTCCCAACCTCAGGCCGAGATCTCCAAAGTGAGGCCTTACTCAGGTGACGACAGCCTTGGACTCGCTCTGGGTAGGATGTGAGCTCCACGCTATGTTCCCAGTGGTGGAGGTGAACTTGTCAAGCCACACATTCTCTGAGTTGGTCTCCATGTGGCAAATGCACTGACATTACGAGTAGTACATTAGCCTGTAGTGCTACAAGGGATTTTTCTACATCATCACTTAACTGTTCCTATGGAAATCAATTTGGGCAATGAGCAATAATATCCTCTAATTTTTAACACTAAATATAAAGCATGCCTATGTATATTTGCTATAAGACACAAAGGAAAATGAAAATTTGGCTGAATAAGGAAATACTTCTTTTATGTCATTTCATATTTTGCCATGTAATTAAGATTATAATCTTTTTTAAAGAACCCATTTTCTTCCCAGCATTAATGGAATAAATGTTTAAGGTGAATAAATTTAATAAACTGTATATACTTTATGAATATTGCATCATAGATTTTTTTGAGAACTTCAACTGAGTAATGTCAAAATAAAGGAAATAAATTTTTTGTTGCAAAATACAGGAAAAAAATGAATAAAAAATGTTATGGGAAAAGTAAAGACTTAATTTTCATATATATGTTATCTTACTTTTATTAATTTAGATTTTGTCAACCTCATGAACAATTTGATCATACTCACTGTGGGTGAGAGTTAAAAACCGAAAGCCAATTCCTCGGTAATTTTACCATAAACTCTTTTTTAATTACAGGAGGTAAACACTAATAATTTAAAAATGACAAATGAAGCCAAATTTTGTACCTAATCAAACCTGTCAGGTGGTAGTACAGTTTTGTGTCAGGTTGTATCTGACACAAAACTGAAACCCAGCCCAAATCTAAATGTGAAGATTAACATCCCAACCCCTATTCATGCTGAAGCTAAACAACATCTCATATGCACTTAATATTCATGTCTTATTTATATATTTATTTATATAGAGAGAAAGCACATACACGGAGTCATTTGCTTTTCAATAAACCATGTCACATCAAGTCGAATCTGAGACTTGATTTATAGGCCAGAAATTAAAATCTTTAACATGTTTTTATAAATAAAAGCCAACAGCTTTATCTTTTAGCTCACAGTTTTAGAATTCTTCATATATTGAGCTTGTTTTAGTCTCTAAGTGACACTGGACTTTGTCCATATTGTTCTGGGTGGGACTGAAAATCGTCTCATCTCCCAGTCCAAGGTTAACCAGTTAGAGTGAGGCCATTTTCAGCCTGGGGGGGAGGGTTAGACAGAGCCCTGGCTGATTGGCAACATCTGCCATGGGCAGAGAAGAGAATAGGGCCATGAATTTGCCAACCATGTCTAGGAAGTACATGTTTCTAACAGTACTACCACACCTCCGTAACACTACAATTTGTTAAAAAGTGGTGTTTGAAGAGCAGGACAGCCTCATGTGCCTACACAGACACACTCACCAGGCGCCTTGCAGTGGTGCACCTCTGGCCGGCTGTCCCCACGGCGGCAAAGAGAGCTGATGGAACGACTAAGCTGAGGTCCGCATCCTCAAAAGCTTAGAGAAGCACAAACACACACCCATCAGTGTCATGAAGCAGGCAGACAAGGTACTTGCTAACTGGTATGAAATGATGCCTTTAGCCCGGCCGGGCGTGGCTCAGCAGTTGGGCATCAACCTAGGATCCAGGAGATTGCGGTTCGATTCCCGGTCAGGGCACATGCCAGGGTTGCAGGCTTGAACCCCAGTCGGGGGTGTGCAGGAGGCAGCTGATCAGTGACTCTCTCATCATTGATGTTTCTCTCTCTCCCTCTCCCTTCCTGGCTCTCTGAAATCAATAAAGATATATGAAAAAAAAAAAANATCAGTGACTCTCTCATCATTGATGTTTCTCTCTCTCCCTCTCCCTTCTTGGCTCTCTGAAATCAATAAAGATATATGAAAAAAAAAAAAAAGAAGATGCCTCTATTACTTGCAATAAATCATATCAGAATGAGCCCTGTAAAACAAGCATGTTCACATTGCAGAGGCCACTTTTCTTACAGAGATTCTATTAGAATAGAGCGATGAACCCTATGGTCTTTATCCAAGTACATGTATACGGAGTCTCTCACTCGTCTGAGCTCCTCATCTTTCATTTCTCCAAGTTTCTGATACTGAGACCACTACCCTTTTTGTCAGCTTTACTTGCCTCCTGCCTCAACCCCAAGGCCCACTCTGATGCCAGCTTCTCTGGGCCCATAGAGAGCAAAGGGAGCTCTGACCATCACTGCCTCCAGGCTGGCTCTCTAACATCTATACCCTCACGGGCACTAGGCCCTGCCCTGAAATGCCTCTTGCTGCTCCTCGACAGACGCATCTCCAAATCTCTGAAGCCCCTAGAGCTCTTTACTCCTTCCCCAGGTCACCTCACCCCGCTCAGGAAAAACTCTCAAAGTGACCCCACGCGCAGGGCCCTTTCCTGCTTCCTCTGAAGGGGTCAATGCGAGCTCATTCTGACTCCTAAGTCTGTGCCTTCGTTCCTCCTCCCCTTTGGCCCTCAGAAGAAAACACCAGCACAGTCTTCACAAAGTGAGCCTTCCATTCATATTATCTGTAATTCCTTCCTTCCTGTCCCTTAGAGAAACTTACGGACATGATTCCCTCTGACATCTTCAATGGTCCCGTTTCCAATTGAACAGCCTTCTCAGCCTGATGGTTAAGGTGGTTTGTGCAAACAAACGGACCAGGGTTCTTGTCCATTTCCACCACTTTTCAGTTGTGTTATTTTACCCTTGTAAGCCTCAATTTCCTCATCCATAAAATGGGATAATGATGTCTGGGGTATGATGGGTGATAGTAAGGAGTTAAGGAAAGAGCCGAGCTCTGGGGCCTGACTGCCAGGCTATCACTTGCTAGACCATCACTTCAGCATATAATCACTTTAAGCCTCAAAGTGTAACCTTCGAATGAGGCTGATAATGAGATTGGTAATTGATAATGGCCTCCTGGACTTACTGTGGGGGTTCAATGAAACAAAACATAGGAAACAGCTGAGCACCGTACCCAGTGAACACCCAGTGCTCACCGAGTGCTAACTGTATTTTTAAATGAACTCTCTTTAACTACATTAGAATTTCATCTGGAACAAACCCTTTGCCATGTACTTTTTAAACTCCTGGTGTGCACCACAAATGTATAGGCATTTAAACATGATGATGATGGCAATATACACAAATTAGCAAGTTTTTGCTTTTTATCACAAAATCCATGCTTTTATTGTCTCAGCCTACTGATGTTCATTATATTATCCAGTTACGCTGGTAGACTATTTCCTTTTGTGCCCAATAATTGAGAAACAGAATTAAGTAATGCCCAGGTCTATAGGTAAGTGATTAAAATGCCTTAATCACTCACCTGAGCATTCCATCTCAGTTATACAAGCACTAAATATCCCACTAAAAACAACTACTGCTTTTGAAATCTAATGTAATCAGCAAGTTACATAAGAGTTACTTATTCTAGAGATACACGTGGCCATTTTTCAGAAAACAGAAGGAAAAACAAACGCCTCATTAGGAAGTCTAGGTTACATTTTCCAAACATGAACCTTTCCTTCCTAGTCATCTCTGCCTTCAAACTATTGTGTCCTGTCTCATAATTAAATTCCTAAACATGTGAATTAGGCCTTAGGCACGTACCAGCTAGCACAGGTGAGTTCCTAAGCAAGTTCTGTACATTTAGGAAAACTACTGAAAATATTCTGAACAGGAAACAAAACAAAAACAAAGGGCAGCCTTACCAATAATGGCGTTATTTCCTCCAAGTTCTAACAAGCTTCTCCCTTTAAAAACATATAAAGACAAATTAATGCCCGTTTTAGTATTTAATGCACACTGATAGACGGCCCCAAACCATAACCTATCCCACTTATGTTCTCATTTATTTTGATTGAAAACAATACATGAGCATTGAATCAATGTCAAATTTCCTGATTTTAATAACTGTACTGTGGCTATATGACAGAATGTGCTTGTTCTTAGGAAGTACACTGACATATTTAGTAGCAAAGGAACACAAGGTCTTCATCTTTCTGCAAATGGTTCAAAAATAACATGCAACCACAATATACGTGTGTGTGTGTGTGTGTGTGTGTGTGTGTGTGTGTGTGTTACTGGAGAGAGAGAAAATGATAAAGCAAATGGGGCAAAATGTAAGCCATTGGTGAATCTGGGTAAGGGTATACAGAAATTACTTGTGTGTCTTATAACTTTTTCTTTAAGTTTGACATTATGTCCAAAAAAATCCCAGTTAGTATAAATGTTGCAGCCACTATGGAAAACTATATGGCAATTTCCCAAGAAACTGAACACAGGATTACCATATGATTGATCTAGCAATTCAACTTCTGGGTACATAGCCAAAAAAAGTAAAAATCAGATATTTGTACACCCATGTTCACAGCAGCATTACTCACAAAAGCTAAATGGTGGAGGCACAGATGGATGACTGGATAAAAAAAATATGGTGTGTGTGTATATGTGTGTGTGTGTGTGTGTGTGTGTATACACACNCTGGATAAAAAAAATATGGTGTGTGTGTATATGTGTGTGTGTGTGTGTGTATACACACACACATATAATGAAACATTATTTAACCTTAAAAAGAGTGGAAATTCTGACACATGCCTCAACATGGATGAACCTTGAAGATATTATGTTTAGTGACATAAACCAGTCACAAAACGATAAATATTGTGTGATTTTAGTTATATGAGCTTCCTAGAATAGTCAAACCCATAGAGACAGAAGGAAGAATAGTAGTTGCCAAGGGGCCGGGGGAAGGCAGAAATGGAGAATTAGTTTTAATAGGCACAGTTTCAGTTGGGAAGACAAAAAAAAAAGTTCTGGAGATGGATGTTGGTGATAGTTGCACAACAATGTCAATATACTTGATGCCAGAGAACTGCACAATTAAAAATGGTTAGAATGGTAAATTTTTATACATTTTCTCACAATAAACAAGTTTAAAAATTATGTGGTCATTGAAGAAAATTATTTTTTTAAAACAACAAAATGTATCAAGCAAGCAAAAAGCGATGGCCCATAGGTGACCATGATATCTGTCCTTATATTTTGGTATAGTGCCTTCCAATCTTTTTCCTGTGCATTTATATTTAGTTTAGATCACACAATCTAATTAACTTTACTTTCTGATTAATATATTTTATACCTTCTCCTAAGTTATTAGCAGCTGTTAAAAAACATATTGCTGCATTGTATCCATCATAGTGATGTACCAAATTTTATTTCGCTACTTCTCTAGTACTGAATATATGGACTGTTGAACGTCTACATCTTACCTACTTAGGTCAGGGCCAAAGGGCATGAATATTAGGGCATACATACACACACACACACACACACATATATATATATACACACACATATATATATATTGCCAGCTTACATTCCAGGCAATTATACAGCAGGGTATGAATGCCATTCTGACCTTACACTCCCCAGCATAAAGATCTGAAATTTATTTGCCTCATTTTAGAGCTGTGTTTACCACATCTTTTGAACATACACTTATTTTTCCTTGAATGCATTCTAAAATCAGCTCCTGTGCAAATCACTTTTATTTATTTGTGGTGTCAGGAGTGTATGTGACAGGGAGAGCATGTTCTCACTTCCACGGCTCTGAAACAGCTACGCATCAAGTGAATGTTAATTGTAAGGGGAGGGCTGTTATTACCAAGCCACTGAGTGCTACGTCAGCTCCAGTCTCCGCTGCAGCAGCTGATGTGGTGACAGCTTGCTGGCTACAGCAGAGCACTACACTAGACGACAGGAAAACGGGAGGGAACAGGAGATTCTACACCTCACACCAGCTCCTCCTGCCTGGCTAGAAGTGCTGTGCGGCAGAAGGGAAGGGACCTATACTCCCTGCACCCTTCCAATTCCCTGTCTGCTCCCAAACCACACTCCTGCAGACAACCCCCTCTAAGACAAGCACCTGTACCTTAAGACAGGTGGATACACTTTTTAAAATTACAAACCTATTAATAGTGCTACTTAAGAGAGAACAAACTACTGCTTTGAAGAAGAGGGGGATGGGAGGGGGACCAGAAGAGGAAATTTGCTAGTGGGGAGAGTGGAGTGAATGACCTTGAGCACCTCCGGGCATGCTTGTTGGCCAGTCCTATATCTTCTTTGAAGTAGTATCTATTCAAATCCTTTGCCCGTTTTTAATTGGGTTGTTTGTCTTTTATATTGTTGAATTGTTAAGAGTTCTTTATATAGTCTAGATATAAATCCCTTATCATAAGATTTGCAAATGTTTTCTCCTATTCTACAGGTTGTCCATTTTTTTAATGGTATCCTTTGAAGCACAAAACTTTTTCATTTGATGATATCTATCATTTCTTGTGTTGCTTGGGCTTTAGGTGCCATGGCTAAGAAACCATTGCCTAATCCAAGGTCACAAAAACTTATTTCTATGTTTTCTTCTAAGAGTTTTATTGTTCTAGTTCTTATATTTAAGTCTTTGATACAGGTGAGTTAATTTTTACATGCTGGGTAAAGCACATATCTAGTTGTCCTAGCACCATTTATTGAAAAGGCCATTCTTTTCTCATTGAAACATCTTGGCACCCTTGTCAGAATCAACTGGTCATAATGGTTTATTTCTGAACTCTCAATTCTACTCCACTGATCTTTATGTCTGTCCTTATGCCAGGACCACATAGTCTTGATTACTGTAGTTTTGTGGTAAGTTCTGAAATCAAGAAGTGTTAGTCCTTCGACTTTGTTTTTCTTTTCCAAGATTGTTTTGGCTACTTAGGGTTCTTTGTATTTCCATATAATTTTAGGATCAGCTCGTCAATTGCTACAAGAGGCAGCTGACATTCTGAAAAGTATTGCATTCAACAATNGACTTTGTTTTTCTTTTCCAAGATTGTTTTGGCTACTTAGGGTTCTTTGTATTTCCATATAATTTTAGGATCAGCTCGTCAATTGCTACAAGAGGCAGCTGACATTCTGAAAAGTATTGCATTCAACATGTAGGTCACTTGGGCAGTACTGATATTGGGCAATAACATTATTAAGTCTCCCAAAAGGTGAAAATGGGATAACTTTACTTTTATTTAGGTCTTTAATTTCTTTCAAAGATTCTTTATAGCACTCTGTGTGAAAAACTTATACATCTTTTGTTGAATTTACTCCTAAGTAATTTATTTTTTCTGATGCTATGTTATTAAATGAAATTATTTTGTAGGTTTCATTTTCAGATTGTTCATTGTTAATGTATACAAATGTAATTGATTTTTGTTTATTAATCTCATATCCTTGCTGAACTTGTTTATTAGCTCTAATAGTTTTTTTGCAAACTTGCATTTTAAAAGCAATGCCAAGCTCTGGCTGGCATGGTTCAGTGGTTAGAGTGTCAGCCCGCACACCAAAGGGTCTTGAGTCAGATTTTTGGTCAAGGGCACATACCTAGGTTGCCAGTTCAATCCCCCACCCCGGTCAGGGCACATGTGGGAGGCAACCAATCAAGGCAACCAACTGATGTGTCTCTCTCAAATCCATGTTTCTCTCTCTTTCTTTCTCTCTCTCTTCCTCCCTCCCCCATCCCCATTCCTTCCACTCTGTCTCAAAAAAAAGCAATGCTTAAAAAGCAACAGGGAGGCCTGGCAGATTTCCTAGTCAAGTCTCATCCTGTTAGAGTCTAAATTCACAATAGCCAAAAATGAAAGTCAATATTATCCTTAAAAAACCTCTTTAATCAGTCATAACGTACAGTGTACAAAACTATGTTTACGTAAATGAGGGAACAGATTTAAATCTCCTATTCCACATTCACTGTAGGTCCTGTACTCAATGATGCTGTTTAAATTGTGAGTTTTCTTTTTTTAATTTGCCAAATAGGTCTGATAGAATTTGATAAATATATTTGATATATTATTATAGTCATTTGGAGAGAAATTGACATCCTTTTCCAAATTATGCTATTTAATTTGCGACTGCCCTAATATTAACCCACTAATAACTGTATTCTTTCATTTATTTGGACATTCAAATAAACATGGCTGGTATAACCCCGGAAAGGGTCAAAGAAAAAACACTGTTAGATTTCATATCCATAGCTCTGAGGGAATTAAAATCCTCATTAGAAAGCCGACACTTACCGAACCTCTCCTGCACCATAAGGGCCACCTGTTTCCCCACCTGAGTGCTCCCGGTGAAGGACAGCAGGCTCACTCGCTCATCTTTGGCCATTGCTGTGCTGCAGGGGAACAGACAAGGGCGCTCAAGCAGAGAAACCCAGCAACGGCGCCACCTGGTGGTACTGGCCAGAAAACCCTGGCCCGGGCTCTTGGAAAGGCAAAGTCAGGAGAGCCAGGGAAGGTCTCCGTGAAAATGAACTAGGTTTCCATAAGCAGAACCATATAACAGAATGGGCTAACCTCTTCCATGAGCTCTCTATAAACAGAAATCACCTTGAAGACATTATTAAGGAAGAAAGCCCTTGTACTGAGTGGGTAACTGGTATGTGAATTATAGGGTGGTTTTTAAAAACAATAAATTTAGATATAGAAGCTGTATTCCCAGGGCTCCCTTTTACAGTCAGCTGAAGAACCCAGACAGTAGGCTCTGTTCTCGGGGCAGGGGGTGAGACGCCAGACCACAATTCCACAGCTCTGCTTTGTAAGTAAGCACCTTTATAAACCCAGTGTCAGCAAGCCATGGACTGACACTGTTACAGCAGTTTGTTATTTCAGGATATAAGCACCTTACAATATCAGCTCTGGGCAATTCAAAGGACGATTTCTTATTCATCCTCCAGCAGAGGCTATGCCTTCATAAAGGCAGAGCCCACTGGGGTCCATAATAATAATGACTCCAAAAAACCACTCTCACTCCAGCTGCACTGGGTCTGGTTATTTTAGGGCAGGTGGTTCTAGTCGCTCAACCTGGGGACCTTCAACAGAAAGATGTTCTCTGTCTATCCACCTACCCGATATCAGCTCCACCACAAGTCAAGGAACAAATCGCACCAGGCAGCTTGTTGTCCTCCAGGACCTTGGCTATTATCCTAGGAAGGAAAAGCAAGTACTGCTGAGGGAGCAATTTCATTTCTTAGGGTTTCTGAAAAACTAAGAATAAATTCCAACCACCTAACTTCCCTGTTTCAACTCTCTTCCTCCCCTCGAACATCCAAGCCTGCATTTCTCCTCACATAACAGAAATGAGGTTTCCAACCCGGCTGGTGTGGCTCAGTGGTTGAGTACCGACCCATGCACCAAGAGGTCACCAGTTTGATTCCCTGTCAAGGCAAACGCTCAGATTTCAGGCCTGATCCCCTGTAGGGGGTGTGCGGGAGGCAGCTGATACATGTTTCTCTTTCATTGATGTTTCTCTCCCTCTCCCTTCCTCTCTCTCTCAAATCAATAAAAACATACTTTTCAAAAATGTTTTTTTTAAAAAGAAATGAGGTTTTCAAACAAAAGGAGAACTCTTTTTTTTCTCCCTAAGAGAATCTTAAAAAGAAATTTTTTTAAGAAAACATGCAAAAGAAATAGAAGACATAAAGCATTGGTCAGATAGTGTTTTTCTGCCAAACTATGAGGATAAATCTAATTCTAGACGGTTGACTGATCACAGGGCATTTTTTGTCTTCTGGTCTCTCACTACAGAACCACTAAAATGATGATAAAGAAATCTAAAAAAGAAGTACTAAGAAATAAGCCCTAGAAAGATAAGAAATGAAAGGGCATCCCCATCAGCAAACGAGAGGTTTCAATATGTCTCGGCAAAGCAGAGGCAGCCAGAAAAGTGGCTCAGACGTATGATATGTGGCCCGTGTTCCTCTTATGAGTCTGAACTTACGAGTTTAGTTGAATTTAAGAACTCCTGTTGGATACGGCGGCACCCTTGCTTAAATACGGCAAAATTTCAGCATCATTTTACTCATTGTCTTTCATTACAAAACAAGATATTCTCAATTACCTGAAATATCAGCCATGGTCCTATGTGAACATTCAAACCCTTCAACATATTTAAAGCAAATAATAAACAACTCAGAGCAACAATAACTTAGGACATTTGAAACTACTATCAAAACTGACAATATTTTAAACCAGTTGCTTAAATTGGCGAGTTCTACGCTTTTAATTTTTTAAAAATTGCCTGGGGACTCTCATCATTGTTGTATGTTTTGTGTATCAGAGTTCAGAGTTCTGTGTAATATTTCATTTAAACACCCCTGCCTTGAAGAATATATTTTCCTCAATATCACACATTCCTTTCGAGTACTGTAAATATTCTCTTTTTCAGCTCACTTTTCACTTCCTAAGCAGTGTTCCTAAATGACCTTCTAATATGAAGGACCCTCTTACATATGGACTCCACCACAAGCTCTCTACAACAGCTCAAATCAGAGAATGCAAACCATGAAAATGACACTGTTGTAATTGACCCAGTTATTAATAATAGGAAAGAAGCACAGGAAAGGCCAAATATTATGGGCCTGTCATTTGGGCAGCTCCACCAGGAGGCTAAAGCTTTACACGGACCAGGGAGCCACCAGTCTATTCCTGCAGATTTCTGGGGCAGGGACTGGACAGGGAGGAGATAGACACATGCCCAGTAAAGTGGGGGTGACACTGGGAGGGTACTTGCCTGTTAGTCACATCTGGGAATAGGTCATTGGCTAGAATGGGTGTGGCCACTGCAAGTGCTGGAAGATTCGAGATATTTAATCTCCTAAACAAAGGAGTTTGCCCTCTTGGTTGACTCCTAGCTTGCGGGGCTCTCTCTTCCGCTTCCTGGCATTCTCCCGTGTGGCCCACGGTCGTGTGGCCCTCCACACACAATGCACTAATGGACTAATGGAACTAGCCAGATGCTGAACTAGACCGGGCTGCAATGTGGAACGGCAACTCTGGACACTGGCTTTCCTTCTAGCTCTACTGATACCCCGGTTACACTTCTTCTATAACTGGACTAAAGGAAATGCGACTTTGGAAACCCAGGGATGTAAGTCCAGGCAAATAAAAACCACTCATCCTCCCGCGTAAATCTCAGAAAATTCTTTTCCCCAATATCGTAAGGACTCCACCCTCAGCACCCAGTGGGGAAAGGGATACCCCAATTTCCCCAATAACAAAATCAATCAACTATGAGGATGCATCATCACCCATCATGGGAAGGTGCTCTCTTCTATATGATCTCTAAATTCCAGAATGATAAATTAGTAACACTGATTTTATGACATAATCAGAGTTATCAAGTTTTCAAATATGAGTAAATAAAACAATTTTTAATCAAAAGATAAAATACATTTTAGATAGTGTGAGAAGAACCCGTGGAATAATGTAGTGAACATTTGTCTCTGCTTGGCTATAGTCTATTAAACAAAAATAATAAAAGAATTAGCTGGGTGGAAATTAAAACCATTAACATGTAGAATAGTTAAAAAATATAGCCCCTAAATCGCAAAAAAATTTCCTCTCTGCTAGATTTACTTTTATTTTGCAAGTGATAATAATGTTTATAAGAGTTCAGTTTCAACACTTAAATCAATACCTGGCCTGTTTCTAAAGAGTTAAATGATTTGGTCCTGAAAGAGCTCTATACACTGCAAAATGATACCAAATGTTATTACAACCAAATGAGAAAGAGGTTATCCAAATTCCATACTTAAATATGACACTTTCACATCCCATTAAAAATGCAGTGCCTGTCAATCACCCTTTCGAAATTACTCCATACCCAGGAAAAAGCCACACATACTCACTTTGTGACGGCGACACTGATGAGGGAAGTGGTCGGAGCACCTTTCCTTGAGAGGATTAAAGAAAAAAAGGCAACTTAACTTGGTGGAAATCATAAATACCTTTTATTATCAAGCAGGAGCCAAAGTCTTTTTAGACAACTGAGCATAGCAACTGAAATAGTGGTGTCTCTGGGACCTAGCAGACTACAAAACTTCCATAAATATAAAATGGCAAAGAGCAATTTTGAGCCTGCTTGCTGCACTGACCATAGGAACTGCTACATTCATCTCCACCAGTTATGGGAACTGTGTGAAGCAGAAGTCAGCATGGTTTTTGTTGGGAGGGTCAGGCAACTGCAGGAAGCATCGGTCCCTTTGGCAACACAGTGCCAAATCATCAATCCTCCCACTATGCATTGCTTCTGTAGACAGTCTTAGAGTACATTCGACTGACTACATTGAGATCGGCATATATAACTAATGGTAAGATGCAAACAGGGAAAGACAATTCTCCTGGTTTTCCTGACCTAAGTTCTTCCACAGAACGTGAAAGCTATAAATAGTGTTTTGTCATCTATAAGATACAGACATTTTCCCACTTAACTTTTATTATCAGTTTATAAAACGTAAATTTTTTTTTCTGATCCTCACCAGAGGATACTTTTTCCATTGCTTTTCAGAGAGAGTGGAAGGGGGGATAGAGACAGAGAAACATGGATGTGAGAGAGACACATCAATTGGCTGCCACCCCAATGTGCCCCGACTGGGGCCGGGGATGGAGCCTACAACCGAGGTACGTGCCCTGGGCCAGAATGGAACCCAGGGCCCCTCGGACCAAGGGCTGGTGTTCTAACCACTGAACCAAACCGGCTAGGGCTATAAAATGTAAAATTTAATGCATCAATGGCAACATTAGCCCAGTGCCTCAGAATCACTTGAGAATTCACTATTGAATTTTTATTGGGGGGGTGGAAAAAAAGGAGCCAAACTTTAAAAAGAAGGTTGTGACTTATCCCAAGTTCTTTTTCTCCCACTTGTCTGCTTAGTTTTCTGTTGGGGAGTGCAATATAACAAAGATTATTTCTCTGGTCTTTGTTCCTGGCACAGAGTTTCAGAACACCTTGGCATTCTGAGGGATAGGAGTGTGTTTGTTATGCCAACAAGGTGACTTGTGGTGTCCACTAGATAGCTTCCAGATGCGGTTGGTTGCTGGTCACCAGAAAGACCACCAATGGAGAAGGGAGGAGGAATCTAGATTGAGTTCGATCACATGTCCAATGACATAATCAATAATGCCTAGGGAATAAAAGCCCAATAAAAAAAACTCTGGACTCAAGCTCAGTGGAATCTCCTGGTTGGGAGAGTGACCTACCCCAACTTCACTGGGTGAAGGAATGGGAGCTCTGCATCTGGGACCTTCCAGACCTTGCCCTATGTGTATCCTTTATAAAAAACTATAATCGCCCTGGCCTGTGTGGTTCAGTTGGGTGGGCATCCTCCTCTGCACCAAGAAGTCTCAAGTTCGATTCGCAGTCAGGGCACATGCCCAGGTTGCGGGCTTGATCCCAGTGGGGGACATGGGGGCGTTAGCTGATTNCAGGTTGCGGGCTTGATCCCAGTGGGGGGCATGGGGGCGTTAGCTGATTAATGTTTCTCTCTCTCCTTCTCCCTTCCTCTCTCTCTAAAATCAATAAATATATATATATATATTTTTTAAAAACTATAATCATTGAGTATTGTGCTTTCTTGAGACCTGTGGGTCATCATTCTAATGAATTACTGAAGCCAAGGGTTCATGGGAACCTCCAAATTTGTAGCTGGCTGGTCCAAACTGCAGAGGTCCTGGGACCTGGGGGTATTTGCAGCTGGAATCTGAAGTAGAGCCAGTTTGTGGAGATCTGAGCCCTCTGAGGAGCCTGACACTAAATCCAGGAAGTCAGTGTCAGAATTTAATTCTACCTGCTTTGGATGGAAACAACCGCAAGGACAAGGCTGTGTCAAAAAAAAAAAACTAAATCAAAAAAATTAATTTTACCAATGGTAAAATGCAAAGTAATTCAAAGTTGGTGTTTCACAACTAGCAGATATAGCTTAATATGTTAATAGAAAGAGTAGAGTAGTAGCACACATTTCAATACATCTAAAATACTTTTACTAGTACAATGGCCACCTTACTACTGGATAAGAAAGTGAGCCGTTCTCACCAAAGGCAGACGTTGCCACAGATCATGGCGATGGCATTGTTCCAGCCGTACACCGCCACGGGGAAGTTGAAGGCAGTGATGATCCCAACCAGGCCGACAGGATTCCACTGCTCAATGAGCGCATGGCCGGGTCCTGAGGACGGGGGAGGTGAGGAACGTGCTTAAGCATGTTCATTCAATGCACGTCAAGTTAACAAGCAAAGTCTGAAGTCCTCCATTTTCAGGACAAAGGTACGCAGGACCAAGTAGGGATTCCAGATGCCTTGTAGTGGATTAAGTTACAGAGCCGAGGGATACTGGTACATTAATTAGCATACGACAAAAGCTGTTATGACTACACCACCTCATGAACTATGACAGACACTATGCCTCTGATCCTCATAGGAACTCTGATTGTTTTAGTCAAGGGCAACCAGAGCAGTGAAGAACCAAAGCAAGGAGTGATGGCTCACAAACCCTGGGGAAATCCAGAACAACTGGAAGGATGTTGCTCCCAGCCATGAATCTTTCTGGCCACACTCACACTGATAGCTAGGCACAGGAAAGCTGCCCACTGCTGCACCCATGCCACGCCCTCCTTTAGTCTAGGCACCCTGGACCCCATTGCCAGACCCTCCTTGAGTCTAGGCATCCTGGACCCCACTGCCAGACCCTCCTTGAGTCTAGGCACCCTGGACCCCATTGCCAGACCCTCCTTTAGTCTAGGCACCCTGTACCCCATTGCCAGACCCTCCTTTAGTCTAGGCACCCTGTACCCCATTGCCAGACCCTCCTTGAGTCTAGGCATCCTGTACCCCATTGCCAGACCCTCCTTTAGTCTAGGCATCCTAAGCTCCCTTCAAATGATGTACTGTCTCCTCCTCTCTTGGCCTCCCCTCTTTACCCTCCTCCCCAGGGAGACCAGCGCAGCTCTGATAACATCACTCCTTTGCTTAAAATCCTTTGGTGTCTGGGTCACTACTGTAGCTGCCCTAACATACAGTCCAAACTCCCTATCAGGAAAGGTCTCTTCCCACTTCCTCTCCACCCTCTCTCTCCCCTCACACTGTGCCCTCCATCTCTGCTAAAATAACACAGTTCCCCAAATAAGCCACATCCTCCCATCCTAAACTATCACTTTTTTCCCTCCCTATTTAAAATAACGCCTGCCAGCACTCCACCCCTCTCTTTCTTGAGGCCTAAACTTGGATTACGTTCTCCGGCTAGCTTAGCGGCTCACTATGCTGTCCTCCAACCCATCAGAGTACTTACCATGTCCTATTATAATTTTCCATTTACTTATCTCCCACTTGCTTCTCACTCCTAAGTGTAAGGAATCTATAGGCTTATAAATTCCTTGAGGACAAGGACTGTGCCTTACTGGTCAAGTATCACCTATTATATCACCTGACACCTGGGAGACACTCAATAAGCATTAATTGCAGCACTGAGGTCAAAGTTACCCCAAAGCCTCTACATAGATGAATAATGTACTCTTTAAAAAAATCTATTTTTTCTTTCCTGATCATAAATGTAACCTAATTCCCATCACGGAAATTCTGAAAAATACCAAAAAAATAGAAAGATGACAATAAAAACCATTAATAATTCGGCCACACTGGGATAACCAGTTCCCACTCTGGCAGATTTCCAGCCCTTATATCTTCGGTGCAGCCACACGGAGCCATCTGTTTGCTCTACAAAAACTGCAAACATTACAAATCACGTAAGCCCTTGTCCTCTTCACTGAAACCTCTCAGAGTACAAGGCTGGTCCTTGCAGCAAAAGTCTGAAAATATCCATCATTTGGGAACTGGTGAAATAAATTATGTGCAGTATTTTTACAGCAAATACACAAGCTATAAATAAAGATGAAGGAAGCACCTTCATGGAAAAATATGAAACAATTTCCAAGACCCATTACATAGGAAAAAGTATAGAACAGAATGTATAGTTTGCTAATGCTTGTGTTTCCAAAGGACACACATTTGCCTACAAGTGAACAGAAACTCTAAAAAGATATATAAGAAACCAGAATCACTGGCACTTCCATGGGGACATTATGGGGGGTCCAAGGGAAGTACGTTAAACCCTTTACTCTTCTATTCCCTTTTAATTTTGTGACATGAGATGATAGTCTCTTAAAAAACAACATTAAAATCATTTAAAAATAAATAAATACAACCCTCCCATAAAAGTGTGGGGTTGGAGGAAGGCAATCTTCATAAACAGGATTTTTATTACCCACTAAAGAATGCCAACATTAGCTCAACCTTTCCCTTGGACATTTAGGTCATTTTTAATGTTTCCTATTATACCACAGTGAACATCTTTGCACATAAACCTTTGTCACATTTCAGATTACTTACTTAAATTATTGAAACTGGTATTAAATATCAGGCTCTTAAGGTTATTTCCAAATTGTTTTCCAGATGGATGGGCAATTCACGTTACCACAAGTCATCATAAAAGAGTGTCTGTCTCACCCACAGACTTGCCAACACTGAGTTTTATCTTTAAAAATAAAAAAAATTTTCAAGTGTCTTAATCTGATGTTTTCACCTGTTTCAATTTACATTTTTGAGTATGAAGATGTGGGGAAGGGGCCAAGTGGCATGACTCAGTGGTTGAGCATCGACCAATGATCTAGGAGATGGCGGTTAGATTCCTGGTCAGGGCACATGCCAGGGGTGTGGGCTCCATCCCCAGTGAGGGGCGAGCAGGAGGCAGCCGATCAATGACTCTTTCATCACTGATGTTTCTATCTCTCTCTCCCTTCCTCTCTCTGAAATCAATAAAGACATATTTAAAAAACAAAAAAAATTTTTTTTTTTAAAGAAGTGGGGAAGGCTTGGGGAGGGGACAGGAGCAGGGTGGACGGGACCAAAGGCAGCAGTGGGGGGAGGGACATCTGTAATACTTTCAACAATAAAGATTACACCTATTAAATAAATTAATTAAATAAAGATATTTTCATTCATTTATATGCCACTTACAATTCCCCTTTTGCAAAATGATCACAGCCAGGGCATTTTTTGGAGCTCTTTGTATCAAAGCCCAGAACTCTTAGCCTAAGTGACTTCATTGCTTACTCTCAGAAGGCAGGATGGGTCCTCCGATCATCCGTGATAGGCCAACAGCATAGTCACAAATATCCACGTATTCCTGAACTTCTCCCACACCTTCCACTAAGATTTTCCCCATCTCCAAAGACACCTAAAAATACAAAAAGCCAAGCTCCAATATTCCAACAGAATTCATGTTTTAAACATTAAAATGACAAGGGGGAAAAGCGTAACACATTTGTGTCTCTCTTGTGAAGGTAATAAACTTCAGAAATTCTGTTCCTATTTTTCTGAAGAATTTTAAAACCCAAGAATAGTCTTCATTTTCCTGTCCGTCTTGCTCATTTTTCCTCCAGAAAAAAGACTTTTGAAATACATAAATTGCTTTCTTAAAAATCACAATCTTGCCCTGGCCAGTGTGGCTCAGTTGATTGGGCTTTGTCCCAGGCACGGAAAGGTTACTGGTTTGATTCCCAGTCAGGGCACATGCCCAGGTTGTGGGCTCGATCCCGTCAGGGGCGTCCAGGAGGCAGCCGATCAATGACGACTCTCTCATCATTGATGTTTCTCTCTCTCTCCCTCTCCCTTTCTCTCTCTGAAATCAATAAAAACATATTTAAAAAATTAAAAAATAAAATTAATTAATTAAAATTTAAAAACCTTTAAAAAATCACAATCTTACATACAGAAATGGGTGATGGCTTTATTCCCCTTTAAAGGATTATATTTTTACTACAGAAATACCTTACCAAGCTTCCTAGTACTTGAATCTTCTCCCGCAAGGCATCACCAATCTGTCTCACTATTTCTCCTCGCTTTGGAGCAGGAATCTAAGAAAAAAATGGAATTTTAGTGTCTGATTCGAAGTATAAACTCTAAGCCCTGGCCAAGTAACTCGGTTAAAGAGTCATCCTGATACGCCAAGGTTGTGAGCTCGATCCCTGGTCAGGGCACATACAAGAAGCAACCAATGAATGCATACATAAGTGAAATGACAAATCAGTCTCTCTTTCTGTTTCTCTCCCTCTCGCTCTAAAATAAATATATATTTTTAAAGGTGATAAAATAAAGTATAAACCTCGTGTCTTTAACACTATTAGATAAATGTGCTCTGAGAGAGCAAACAACAAGCAGATGGCTTTTTTGATCACAACAAGATGATAGGTTCATAGCGAGCAAGGGACTGTGCCAAGAAGAGAGAGAAATTCAGAGGTTGAACACAATCTTTTAGGATGACTCCAGCAGGCTTCAAATACCTTAAATACCTATAAGGTTTTGTGATTCCCAGCAATGAGTTCTATGGGTCAAACTGGCTGCATGCCCAAACCCTCGATTTGGCTTCCTTATAAACTGGTATTCCATAATCCATTCAAATCATATCATGCACTCACGAAATATTTTCTAAACACTCTTGTGGCAAGAGTAATAATAAGCACTGGGACTACAATAAGAAGTGAGGCATTTATGGAGCTAATTAATAACTAGAGGGAGGCACAGAGATTTTTTTTTAAAGGCGACAAATAATTACAAATTGCCAACAGGTCTATAAAGTCCAAGGAAGTAAACAGGGTGCTGAGGTGGAGAATACAGCAGGTTTGGGTAATAAATGGATGTTATTTAATCTAAAAGGTTGTCAGGGAAAAATCTCTAAGGAGATAAGATTTAAGCTGAAACCTAATGAATAGAAAAAGTGAACCATAGGAATATTCTTCCTGGAGTAGGGATGGGGGAGTGGAACGTAAGAGACAGCCACAGAAAATAAGAGCTTGTCATAGCCCCGGCCGGTGAGGCTCAGTTGGTTGGAGCATCGTCTCATACACCAAAAGGTAGCAGGTTCGATTCCCAGTCAGGGCACTACCTAGGTTGCAGGTTCGATCCCCCGGTTAGGGCACGTGCAAGAGGCAAACAATCATGATTCTCTCTCATCTCTCTCTCCCCCCGCCCGCCCCGTAAAATTCAATAAAAAAACCATGTCAGCCCAGCCGGGCGTGGCTCAGCAGTTGAGCATCGATCTAGGATCCAGGAGACTGAGGTTCAATTCCTAGTCAGGGCACATGCCTGGGTTGTGGGCTCCATCCCCAGTAGGGGGAGTGCAGGAGGCAGCTGATTGATGATGTTTCTCATCACTGTTTCTCTCTCTATCCCTCTCCCTTCCCTCTCTCTCTAAAATCAATAAAAACATATTTTTTAAAAAAGAAGAAAGTAGAATGCAAAGGCCAAAGGAGTTTTTTAAGGAGTTCAAAGAGGCAGGAGAGGACTACACAGGCCACACTGCAAAGGGCCATGTAAAGGATCCAAAAACAGTGAGGCAATTACCAAAGGGTTTCAAATGGGAGAGTGGTGGGCATGGATCACAGTGCGTTTTAAAATATCACCCTAGTTGTAGTATAGAAAATGGATTGGAGGGAAACAAGAATCAGGCAGGAAGACCATTAGGCCAGACCAGAGATGGTGGCTGTCAGGACTACAAAAATGGCAATAGAGAGAAATGTAATTTAAGATGTTTAAGACTTGATTATTGAAAATTGGTAATTGATTGATTCTCAACCCTGACTATATATTAGAATCACCACCCATGTAACTTTGAACTAGATTCCAGTTTAGACCACTCAATCTGGCTTCTTTTCTCCCCCCAGCTTCCCAGATGGTTTACACGAACAGCAAGAGTTGAAAACACCAGGATCAGGTTTGGGGAAAGTGAAATGAGGGGGGTGTAGGAAACAAGGGAGAAAGCCACAACTCCGTGTGAGCTTCATCAGTCCTAGCATAACAGGGCATCGATATCCTCAGACCCTCCTGAGATGGGCAACAGAGCCCTCATCCCTGTACACTTCACCCACGAAGTCACATTTAGAATTAGCATTCAAGACAGCCACATGGAGGGAACTGTGAGCATGGAGGGAAGTATTAACTGAGCCTTTGAGGAATTAATACAATGACACCCATGTTAAAGAGCTGCCAGGTATGTAGTATCCTTCATTCAGTTAAAGATGGCTCACTAACAGTTCCTGTCCTCAAGGGAGGGAAGAGGCTCTGGCTCTTCCTTGCCGGGGATGGAGAGGAAAGTGAGGATGCAGAGGGGATGCAGAGGGGCAGAAGCAGGTGGCCTGCTGAGCTGAAACTACCTCATGAAAGGAAGCAGCACCCAGTATTCCCAGCTAGGTTCTCTGTGGTTAGTTCCAGTTGAGAGGAAGAAATCAGTTTTGATAAACTAGTCTTCTGTATTTTTATACTGTGTTCTTTTTCCCTTCAAGAAAAATGTTTCCTTAGAAAAATTCCTGGCTTAACTCAAATGAGCTAAATGAAACAGTGGTTTGTGCTCACAGAGGCAAGGCCAGCCAGAGGATCATGGCCAACTAGGGGCTCCATGTGAGTCAGGACTCAAGAGGGAAAGTGCATAGACCAGGAGGAGACCAAGCTCTGGTCTGTATTTGTTTGAGGCCCCAGCAACCTTTAAGTCACTGCCCCCATTGGCAGGGGCCCCGGAGGCACCGTTCAGAAAGTCTCTCTTCCCTAAACTTTGAACTCAATTGCTTAACTCAAATTCTAACAAGTGGATCCCCAACTGACTCAACCAGTACCCAGAAAAGCAACATGTTCCCACTTAGCAGCCCCCACTCTACTGGGAGGTCTAAAAAGTACGAAAAGTGTGCGAAAGAATGTAAGGCACAGAGTCCAGCACTGTTGAGTAAGAGCAGGCGGCCAAGTGAGATCCTGAATTTGAAAACAACCACCAAGCATAGCCCAATATTAAGGACAGATGTCACAACGTCAGCTGCCACCCCCTAGAGCAAAGACAGATTTAAGGGCCAGTTCAGAAGAAAAGACCCTGAATTCACACTAACTCTTTTCTCAGACACGACTGTATTTACCCTGGGTAAATACACACACATAATAGATGTTTCTGATCGAATGTTTCCCTGGCATTCAAAACAGTGTATACAAAGAGTGAAATCCTAATATAAATGATGGACTTTATATATTTAATGATAATGTATCAATATTGGCTCCCAATTGTATGAAATGTATCACACATGCAACATGTCAATAAACTTGCTAAGAGTGATGGGGGAGAGGAGAGAAAACTCTCTGTACTTTCTGCTCATCTTTCTGTTGAAGGGGCACAGAACAAGTCACCCCAGCACGTGCCATGTTGACATGTGGATTACTCTGTGCTGAAGGCACTCAAGACCCAGAAGACCCAGGAAAAGCATTTTATCTCCCCCTTAACTTCCTAGAAGAATTCAGAAAGGGGCCTGTATCAGGAAGAGAGCTATTACCAGACACAACTCTTTATATCTGAGAGACTTATCTGCATAGCAGGACAAACATTTGTTTAAAGCCCCAGACCCTATTCCTCAGGATGCTAGATAACCATCAGTTACCTGGCTGTCTCTAGGTTTCATGTCTTCAAGAAGCCCTGTAGGTACGAAATTAAAATTTGCTTTTCTGTTAATCTGTTTTATGACAATTTAATTACTAGACCAACCACAGAACCTAGAATGGAAGAAGGGATATTTTTTCCTCCCCTATAAACGTGAAACTACTCTAAAAAATAAGTCTATTAATTTTGTTTGTTGNACCTAGAATGGAAGAAGGGATATTTTTTCCTCCCCTATAAACGTGAAACTGCTCTAAAAAATAAGTCTATTAATTTTGTTTGTTTATTGATTTTAGAGAGAGAGAGGAAGGGAGAGAAACAGATTTGTTGTTCCACTTATTTATGCATTCATTGGTTGCTTCTTGTATGTGCCCTCACCAGAGATCAAGCCTGCAACCTTGGCATGTAGGGACAATGCTCTAAACAACTGAGCTACCAGCCAGGGCTAAGTCTATTAATTAAAAAACAACAACAAACAATATACATACAAGAAAACAATGATGTTTAAAAACTATGCAGTAATTTAGGCTGGTATACAATGTAATCACAGGTCACAAAATTTCACACACATCGTGTGTGTGTGTGTGTGTGTGTGTGTGTGTGTGTGNGTATACAATGTAATCACAGGTCACAAAATTTCACACACATCGTGTGTGTGTGTGTGTGTGTGTGTGTATATATGCATGTATGTATAATAATCATCACAATTATGAGATAAACACATAAAAGACTGGAAGGAAAAGCACCAAACATAACTCTTAATAACCATTCTATATTGAGAAGGGGATTAAATTCAATTACCTTGTTTACTGAATCATCCAATTTTTTTAAAGTAGGGAATATGTATTACTTTTATGAAAAGAAAAAAAAATAAGTTATTTTTAAATGTCACTGCTCTGGACACTATTCTCTGCCCAGGTAGGGTGAACTTTACTTAGCACACTGTTTACTTTTGGAAGTGGTATTTTCCTGCTCAAGCATATTTTTGATTGTGTATAATGGAACTCTCAGCCTAACTTATGGCCAGAATTAGCTAAAGTAGAGGAAAAATGTTCCTCGTGCTTTGCACAGAGGCAGTCTCTAAGCAAACAACAAAGCTACATCCAACCCAGGGCTCTCCTGGAGAGTCTGCCCCTCCCCAAGACCCCATAAAATTACTGATTCAGTGAAAACACTTGGCTTGGCAGTCCCAGACCCACAGCACGTGTTTTATCACTGGCAGGTGCTGAGGTTTGCCCTGTGCCAGGCTCTCCTGAAGCATTTTACATGATTAACTCATTTTACCCTCCTGATAACACAGAAAGCAGGCACACAAAGTCTCCCCTTACTACATGACAAAGCACACTGAGGTGAAGTAATTCCCCAGGGGTAGAGCTGGGTTAACCCCAGGATATTCCTATAGCCTCAGATGAAAACGGGTATTCAGGGTGAGGTGAGGGAGGATTGGGAAACTCAGGCTAACCCAGTTCTTTACTCTCTCCTCCTCCAGAGCCTGGCCCTCATCTAGTGACCGCTAAGCTAAGTGGGGCAAACTCCAATCACAGTCCCTACACTTGCTCATATAACCCCTGGAGGAGACAGAGCTGGAGGCAGCAGAACCCATCTCAAAGCCTGATCAGACAGGTGAGGAACTCCAACCCCTGCCCTTTGAAAGAGCTGCCCTGTGAACCAGAAATGTGGACCTATTTCTGAGATACCCCCCACAAAGCTGGTGGGGTGGGAGAAGAAAATGGGTATTTTTAGTATAAATATTCCTTGTACTTCGATAGCATGAATTTATGTTACATCAGTAAGAGTTTTTGTTTGTTTTTTTAATTGAGTTTTAGAGAGAGAGAAAGGGAGATGGAGAGAGACAAAAACATCGATATGAGAGCAAAACACTGATTGGCTGCCTCCTGCACACCCCCTATGGGGGAATCGCAACCTAGGCACGTGCTCTGACTAGAAATCAAACCGTCAACCTTTCAGTGCACAGGATAAGGCCCAACCAACTGAGCCACACCAGCCAGGGCCATCAATAAGAGTTTCAATCCATTTAAAACTGCCCATTGATGCACTGGCCTGTGTGGCTCACCAAAGAGTGTCGGGTTCAATTCCTGGTCAGGGCACATACCCAGGTTGTGGGCTCCATCCTCAGTCGGGGTACCCGTATGCGGGAGGCAATCGATGGATGTTTCTCTTGCTCTCTTTCTCTCTCTCTCCCTTCCTCGCTCTAAAAAATCAATAAAATTTTTAAAAATTACCCATTAATACTGAAGGTCAAATATGTAAAAGGCATTATTCTAAGACCACAGCAGAGGAGATTATCACAGCCCCTAAAGAGCTCCTGTTTCAGCAAGGTGGCACTGACCTGTGCTCATCGGATGTTTCTTTTTCATTTTTTTATTTTTATTTTTTGGATGTTTCTTTATGTCACTGCAATTACAGTAAGTAATCACACCATGGCCTCCAAACTTACGTCCGCCCAGACTCTCCATGCTTCTCTTGCTTTCTTTACAGATTCTTCATAGTCAGCCACACTAGCCTAAATTAAGAATTAAGGGGAGGGGGTAGTAACAAAAAAAGAATTAGGGGGAGACAAAGGGGAAGTGATGATCTCCTAAGAACAGATTATTTTGGAAGAGAACTGGAAATCTCTCTGGGTGACCCTAAGATTTGTGGTTTGGAATGATTTTCCAAAAACTCTCTTGAACCCAGTAAGACACGGTAGAATCTAGCTGTGCTTTTTAAAACCTTGCTTCTCAAAGCAGGGTTCGTTAGTCTCATCTGGAAACAACACCTGAGGTGTATTAGAATATCAGAACCTGGGGCTCCAACCCGGGTGGAAGAGGTCAGAACCTTCATTCTGGAAGTGCCAGGTGATTCAGAAGCAAGCCCTTAAAGGGACCCCCTCTCTTTATGATTCACGTTTTCTAGGGCACACACACCTCCCCTCAAAGAGTGGACAGTCTCTCCCAAACACCCTTAAATGTCAATGAAAAGGAAACATTGTTCTTTGACTTTCTAATTGTGTATTGCTCTTGATCACTCCCACTAATTCTATGGGAGCTATTTGCAGGAAAAATAAAAGTACTTACCTGTCGGACTCTTGCTATTGGCTCATTGTTAGCAGGACAATAGGTCGTGATAACCTGAAAACAAAAAGATGACCACCATATGTAGAAAATGTAATGCAGTCCAAACTGGGGGAACAGGCCAAATGAGGGAAGAAAGGCGGAAGAAAGAACGCTAAGATACAACATCCAAACTCGGAACCTTAACTTCTGTTACAAATAAGGCACTCTACAGAGCTTTTCATTTTGACCTAAACATTCAGAACCACCTTTCTGCAAAAGTCTAAATGCAACCCGCTATTTAGTCTCTTTTTCCATTAACACACCAGACTCCAGTTTTACTTACTTCCTCCCTTACCCTGCCCATCCTCTGGTAATAAGATAAAATAGCCAAGGCCAAACAATTATGGGAAAGGCCTGTGTTCACACAAACTGAAAAGATCAACTAGAAAGAAAAAACATCAAGGCGCGGCTATTTTTAAAAAGGCCTTGGGGGGGGGGAATCTTTTCTCCAAGAACCTAATGATTAGAGGCCATAGGGGAAAACAAACAGCCGGGAAACTAGCAATTGAGGAGCAGAAGGAGGAGGGGCTTGGGGTATTAAAACCACGTTCATCCTACAGTCACCTAAAGGAAGGTGTTTCCTCTCACACAGCAGGTTTGTTACATAACGCGCACTAACTTTGTTGCATGTTATATAACATTTTCTTCCAAAAGCTTTCCTCTGTGTGCGACTCTCAAAAAAATCCTGGTGGTAATAACTTTATCTTTCCATCTGATTCTACAAAACGTTTTATTGAGCACGAGCTGGCGCCAGGCATGGTGTTAGGCTCTGCAAACAGAAATGCGGAACAGCCGGTCCTGGGGGAAGCCAGAGCCCCATGGAAACGGGCCAGGGTTTCAGGAAGTCCGCGCTTGCAGGCTGCGCGGGATTTCAGGAAAAGGATTTCAGCGGCGCACGTTACATCAAGCACGAAATTAAGATAATTTCCACCGTTAAGCGGGTGACATGTCCCACTGCAGATCGCAGAACTCTGCCCTAAGGTTTTCAGGGTGCGCGAAAAGTTTAACCCCAGCCGGCTCCAAAAGGACACCGAATCGACTCTTCCACAGCACCCAAGGACCTAAAGCCCAGGGGTCTTTTTAAAGGCACCCTACATGAGGAAACTTTTACTGTAGAGCTTCGAAACTTCCCACCCGGTACAGCCGCCCACGGCAGCAGCGGGGCGTGGGGCCGAGCAGAGCCCGCCCGGCCTCCCCGAGCGCGCCGACGCCGCAGAGATTTCCCGGGGCGCCCGCATACCTCTCCCCGGCCTCCCCAGCTTCCATTATACACGCCCTCGTTTTCCTCGCGGAGCCCCAGCTCCTTGAGCCAAGCGTACTGGGGCTGATTGATGAGCAGGGTGGACATGAAGGCGGCGGGCCCGTTCCTCGGTCCTAAGAGCTTGCTCCGCCTCGCAACGTGCACACAGAGGTGGCCGGGTACGCGCCACATACTGAGCCCCGCACCCGCCGCGCGCCTGCGGCCTCGGGGGCGCCTGAAATAGAGCCCCGCCCCCCGCCCGGGGGAGCCCATTGGGCAGCCCCGTCCCCGCCCGGGACACGCCCCCCACGCCCCAAGGCCAGCCCCAGTCTTCGCCCTGCCGTTTAACTTAGGGCTGGGACCGAAGGGGCCGCCACGGGGAGAAGCGAGAGGGGTACTGCCACCTAGTGAAGACGCCCGGAACCGCGACGCCAGCTACAGATTCTTTCCAGCAAAATACTGGCTCTGAAGCCCAGCGGGTTAGAGCAGGGCCGCTTGGACCCCAACGTGCCTGGGCTCGCCGGCACCTTCCGAATCCGCGGTTCTGGGCCCGGGCCTGAGAACCAGCATTTCCAAACAGCTCCCAGGTGATGGTGACGCTGCTGCTCCGTGGAATAGCCCGGGGAGGAGGAGGGGTGGTTGCTTTTTTGGTGGAGGTTGTTTTCACTGCTTTATTATGTTACAAATTAGAGCTTTCTAATGAATGGAAGATGTTACATTATGGTACTTCCTTCTAAAGATCCCGCCTGAGTATATATTCTTGCTTTTGAAGAATAAAGACAGTTTTGATCAATTTCCTTCATTCTCAGCTGCTTCTCCTTTCCACCCCTCCCCTCTTACCATCTCATTTCCCATCTAATTTCACAATAACTGGGTCTATACAAGGGAAATAGTAACATCTCCATCACCATGATTTGAACATGAGTTAATACACACACTCTCAAATTAGTCCAATGAGTAGGTGTTTCAGTGAGTCCCAACCTATTTTTCAAAATATTACTTCTCACTACATGCCTGTGGCCTTTCGCATTGCAGCCAGACAGAATCAGTCCCTTTATGTTTCTGTGTAAAGCCTGTGTAGTCCTCCCACAGTGTCTTTGCCCTTGCTGCTCTCTCCACCTGTCAAACCCTTCTTCCATCTCTGCACTCAAGCTTGAGCTTTATCTGTTCCACCCTTACGGCACAAATAAGTTCAGCAAATACTTGGCATATATCAAGCACTTACCAAGAAACTGTAGTAAGTGCTGGATGATGCTTCCATTTGTAAATGTTATATCTTTCCATGTTAAAACAAGTACCATCTCTGACTGATCCTTGCATGGCTCCACAATTCCCATCATTGTATCAGGGTCAGATCCACCTATATGAATGAATGAATGAACAAATGAACCTTTTAAAAACTCCTCAGGAGAAATAAGCATAGATACCCTGTCTCGCATTGGTAATCTCTATCAACAACCCAGCTACTGTCTGCCATCTAGTCTAGGATTGAGGCACTAANAAAACTCCTCAGGAGAAATAAGCATAGATACCCTGTCTCGCATTGGTAATATCTATCAACAACCCAGCTACTGTCTTCCATCTAGTCTAGGATTGAGGCACTAACTTCCTTCATTTTATTTCTCAGGCATTTTAACAGAATTTAATTCTCACTTTCTGGCTGCCAGCAAGGTTCTTTGTACATGTATCCCAACACCACACCCTTCCTTCTCTTCTCATTTGATTCAAAAATGAAAAGACATTTAAAGATACACTAAATTTTAGTGCAACACATAATGCCCTTAGGAAATGTTAGCTTCCTTCTCTTCACTAAATCAAGGTGGGTGGCTGTCAACCGGATCTGGGAAGACACGCGTCAGCAAATGTCATCATTGAAAACTAGGATTCCATTTCTCTTCCACCTTCNGTCAGCAAATGTCATTGAAAACTAGGATTCAATTTCTCTTCCACCTTCTTTTTTTCAAAACTCACTTAGTTCTGCCCAACAGGAGGTCAGGAAAAAACGAATTTTGATAGGGCAGAGCAGGAAAAGATAAAACTAAATGAATCATATAAAAGCACATTTCATATATGAAAGAGAGTTAAATGAATCATATATGAAAGCACATATAAAAACTGCAAAAGCACTGGAGAAATTTAGATGTACTGACTGACCTCAGGACACCTTGAACCAATTCCATATTAAAAGTGGCAGAGTTAGCAAATGGCTGATTCTGCTTTTCAAATGACTTATCAAAGGCATCACAGGGTGGTGATTAAAGCAAGGACTCTGGAATTACAGCATACGTACAAATGACCTGTGCTTAGGATACCCTCAGTGAATGCTAGCCATCTCCATTCTTCAAAGGTAGCTGGCCAACAGGCAGAGGGATGTAACCTGAACATGCATGCTTGCCCTAAAGCAGCAGCAAATTGGAGAAATCATCACAACTTGGGGTGTAATTTCATTATTGCAAACTGGGAGCCAGATTTGTCAGAGCATGGGGGAATGACACTATTGTTCTGGGCAGACTGATATTAATCCAGTTCACAAAAAAATGATGCTACAACTAGAATGATGGATTTTATAGAAAAAAATTATCTTCAGAAAAACAACCATTCACATCCTCTGATCACTGCATTCTCTTCCAGGATACAATCTACCTATCTGGTTGTTCAATGAGCTCTGAATCAGAAGAATTATTAACAATAAATGATTCCAGCGTGGGTAATGGGTCAGGCTAAGACAGTCTCACTAATATGTGAATTAAGTTATAGATTCAAAGCAATCCCAATCAAAATACCAGAACTGGTAAGCAGATTCTAAAGTTTAAATAGAAATGCAAAGAATCTAGAACAGCCAAAACAATTTTGGGGGAAAACTGGAAAAAAAAATTCACCTAATTTTACAATTATCATATAGCTACAGTAACCAAGAAAGCTTCACATTGGTGTAAAGATAGACACAAAGATCAATGGAACAGAAGAGAGAACTCAGATATAGACCTTTGTGTATATATATAGTCAATTTTCAGTGGCAGTATTAAGGAAATTCAATGAGGGAAAGGATAGTCTTTTCAACAAATCATACTATAGTAATTGAATATTCACATGCAACAAACAAAAATAAACCAAAAAACCTTGATTTTACTTCACACTATATAATTAACTCAAAATGAACCATAGATCTAAAGGTAAGAACTAAAATCTAAAACTTCTAGAGGAAAACATTGGATAAAATATTTTGTGGAGGGGGCAGGGCTTCTATGCATTATATATTTAGTTGCATCCCATACCATATAGAAAAATGATAATTATAGCATGAAATTCCACTCCTACCTTACACCACACACAAATCAATTCCAGAGGGATTGCCATTCTATGTAAGAAAGGTAAAACAATAAAGTTGTCTAAGAATTAGGAGACCTGGAGTCAAGACTCAGCTCGNATTCCACTCCTACCTTACACCACACACAAATCAATTCCAGAGGGATTGCCGTTCTATGTAAGAAAGGTAAAACAATAAAGTTGTCTAAAAATTAGGAGACCTGGAGTCAAGACTCAGCTCGATCAATAGCTTAGCTATGTAATCTCTCTTCATGCCTCAAAATAAGGAATAGGATCAAGTGATTTCTAAAATTCCTTTATATGTCTTAAATTCACATTTCAAAAATTTATATTCATCTTTCCCATAAAGTGTAGGAATGTATCCTAAGGAAATAATAAAACAAGTTTGCAAAAACACATGTTAATTGCAAAATTGGCTACAGCCTAAGTATACTATCAGAGACTAAATAAATAATGGTACCTCCATGCAATGGAATACTAGGGAGTCATTAAAAAGGAGCTAGATCTTTGTATTTTGGTATAGAAAGGTGTCTAGGATAAGTTGCTATTTGTTTATTTCTTTAAAGCAGATTACACAATAGTAAAAGATACAAATAATAAGATTCTCTTTATGTAGCCCTGGAGGGGTGACTCAGTCCGCTGGGCGTGGTCCAGTGCACCAGGAGGTTGGGCTGATTGCTTGTAGAGAGCCTGCAGGAGGCAGCTCACTTGGCACTCTCACATGATGTTTCTCTCTCCCTCTCCCTTCTACTCTCTCTAAAAATCAAAAAACTATTCTTTTTTTCAAAGAGATCCTCTTTATGTGAAAAATATTCAATAACTATTTCTTGATCGTCTATTAGATACAAGAAGTCACTGGGCGGTATACTAGGGTAAACAACACTGAATGAAACAGACATGTTAGTGGCGCGCTCAGGCCAAAAAAATAAAACAAATATGACTATTGATGCCACGAAGGAAAACAGAGGGTTGAAGAGTGACATTAGACGTTCCTGTCTTGGGGTGGCCCAAGAAGCCTCTCTGAGAATACGGCATTAAATCAGAAACTGAATCGTGTGAGAGAACCACCTGTACAAAGAACTGGGTGTTGGCGCGTTGGAAGCGGTCTGTCTGGCAGCAGGAACCGCGACGGCAAAGGCCTTGAGCTTGGAAAGAACAAAGGGTGCCTGGGGAACAACGCGAGCAGCGCCGCGGCGGCTGAAGCGCTGGGGAGGGGCCCCGGCGCGGGCCAGCCGCCCGGTCGGCCGCGCTGAGGACTCGGGCCTCACGGTGCGGAGCGGAGCCCCGGAGGGGTCTGAGCAGGGCGGCGACTTCAGGCGACGGCTTCCCAGGAAGCTGCATGTGTATCGCGCAGGAGCAAGAATGGAAGCCAGATGTCCAGCCTGGGCATCAGGGCGAGGGGGTGAGGCCAAGGAGGAACCCCCAATGGCCGCTGTCCGCGCACAAACTTAGGTCTGCACGAAAACCAAGCCTGGGAGAGACGCGCCGAGGCGGCGGGGAAGCAGGGCACGCATCTTCCCAGGGTAGTGCGAGGGGGCAGTTGGC